AATTGTTTTTCATCTTAGTGTTCAGTTATTTTTTTTTTTAATTCCAAACATGAGCCCTTAGTATCCATGATAAATGTAATATTTTCCTTAAGCCAAGACTATAAAGGTTTCAAGGTTAAACCTTTCTCCAAAGGATTAACTAAAAATAGCTTAGCTACTTCCCAGTTCTTTGTTCTATAGACAAAAGGACATCCTCCCTAAACCTATCCCAGGTGCAGGCTATTCAGCCAGGTTCCTGAAAACCTGGCTCAGGAAGCCAAAACAGCGGGACTCCTCCCAAGCTTTTTGTCCTTCCCTTTCACCTTCCCCCAACTGAGCTCAAGGGCTATAGATATGTTAACTGAACCTGAGAAATCAAGTTGCGGACCTGGGATTCGAACCAGCGAAGCTCGATGCAAAGTTACCTGAATGTCTGGAAAATTACTGATGTTAGCTGTACCTTGTCTTAGTCCCTCCCAGCTTGGTGTGAAGCTCCTCCCCTAAATAAAATAGAGGCGCAGGCTGGCCCAGGCGTGCATTACAGGCAGGCGGTGAAAGTGTGCAGTACAGATTGGATAACGTGCTGTGCGGCTGACTAGGCATGTGTTACTGACTAGCTAGTAAGGGGTGCGTACTGCCCGCTTAGCTAAGATGTATACCATGCGGGATGTTACCGCCCTCCTGGCTAATATGTTCACCACGCTTGACCTGCCAGATGCCAGTAATGCACCCACCCTGGTTTTGGGGTGTCTCTTTGTCTCCCTATTTTTGTCTTTCTGTGTATTCTTTTGCTATCCCTTTCGCCGCCAGATCTCTCCTCCTCATGAACCAAACACTCGTGAACAACACAACTATGTCGAGGCCAGTCCCCGACACTGGACGGCAAGCAGTGTGAGGAGACCCAGAGTCAGTGGCGTGGCCGCGGAGGACTCCAGAGGAGAGTGGAGCTACCGGCCAACGGGAAGAGAAGGCATGTGCACAGGAGCATCCACACTTGCAGATGATACCCATGTGACCTGGACCAGATGACTGGAGGATCGGAGCTCAGCCAGGAGAAGAAAGAAGAGGAGAGAAAAAAAAAAAGAGAGAGAGAGAGAGCTGATACAATCTGATGAACTTGACCTATACCTATGGAGCAGCAACTCAAAAGAAGGAACAAATCCTTACAGCAAGAATCATTCCCACCCCCTGCACACACAGAGTGGACAGAGATGGGCAACTTGGACATTGGATACTCAAATGGGGAGCGGGGGACTACAAAGGCAAGAAGTGACTGGCTTACAAGCTTTCAAGGGGGAACCTAGTGCTAGGGAGCATGGCGGAAGGCAGAATCTCTAGTAGGAACTATTCAATGTTTGGGTGGAGTGGATGAAAGGAAATACAGATGGGTAACTCGCGATACTGTAGTGAATAATGCTTATCAGGACGGATTATGAGGGTTGGAAATGCAAAGGCAGACGTTTTGGAACAAGGAAGGGAGTGATTAATTCTACAGGCTAGGAGCGGAGCTATCTGGGACCATCAACGGAGAAGAGCCGAGAGCGGGACCCTACCCAGAGAAACAGAGATGCCTGAGATGGAGATGGAGACAGAGACAATGACGTGGACTTTGGATCCAGAGAGGGAAAGGGACTGTGGGCCGAAAATTGGGGGGTGGGGATGGGGGGTGGGGTGTAGAGGGAAGTGTAGGGGGCAGGTTTCTAGGATATACCCTTTGGTTGGTTGATGATGCAGGGAGGGGATTGGAACCATGGCAATGAGATGATATACAATGGAATGAATATAAAACTAAAGTTCTCTCATGTAAGCTACCATATAATTCATAATAAAACATTTTTAAAAAAATAATAATAATTTGCCCTTCTACATGGTCACACTGAGCTAGCGCCTGGGCCTGGAATTGGGCACCAGTCTTCCACCCGCCCCCTCTGCCTCCCGCCCCCTGCAGACCATGGTCCCCTGCAAAGTGAGCAAGCTGCAGGTCTTCGTGAAACTGTGTAAACAGGACCCAAGCGTCCTGCACACTGAGGAAATGCACTTTCTGAGGGAATGAGTAGAGAGCATGGGTGGTAAAATACCACCTGCTACTCCAAAAGCAAGGAGCTCTGGTAGTGTAGTGGTTACGAATTGGGCTGCTTGCCTCAAGGTCAGCAGTTCGAAACTACCAGCTGTTCTGTGGGAGAAAGATAAGGCTTTCTGTTCCTGTAAAGATTTACAGCCTTGGAAACCCTGTACAGGGTCACTATGATTCGGAACTGAGTCCACGGTACTTAACAACAATAACTCAGAAAGCAAAATCAGAAGAGAATATCAAGGAAGAAAAAACATAATAAGAAGCCAGAAGAAAGCATAAAGGCAGATGAACCATCAAGTGAAGAACGTGATCTAGAAATTGACACTGAAGGTGTGACTGAACCAGACACAGATGCCCCTCAAGAAATGGCTGAAACTGTAGAGATAACTGAAGAGATGATGGATCAGGCAAATGATAAGAAAGTGGTTGCCATTGATGCCCTCAATGATGGTGAACTACAGAAAGCCATAGACTTGTTCACAGATGCCATCAAATTGAATGCTCGATTGGCCATTCTGTATGCCAAGAGAGCCAGTGTCTTCATCAAATTACAGAAGCCAAATCCTGTCATCCGAGACTGTGACCAAGCCATTTAAATTAATCCTGATTCAGCTCAGCCTGAATTCAGCAAGGCAAAGCACACAGACTTCTGGGCCATTGGGAAGAAGCAGCACATGACCTTGCTCTTGCTTGTAAAGTAGACTATGACAAAGATGCTAGTACAGTGCTGAAAAAGTTTCAACCGAGGGTCCAGAAAATTACAGAACATATGAGAAAGTATGAGCAAAAACGTGAAGAGTGAGAGATCAAAGAAAGAATAGAAAGGGTTAAGAAGGCTCGGGAAGAACATGAAAGAGTACAGAGGGAGGAAGGAGCCAGAGGACAATCCGGAGCTCAGCACGACTCTGTTCCAGATGGCTTTCCTGGGGGAATGCCTGGTAATTTTCCTGGGGGCATGCTTGGAATGGCAGGTGGCATGCCTGGGCTCAATGAGATTCTTAGTGATCCAGAGGTTCTTGCAGCCATGCAGGATCCAGAAGTTATGGTGCCCTTCCAGGATGAGGCTCAGAACCCGGCAAATATGTCCAAGTATCAGAGTAACCCTAAGGTCATGAATCTCATCAGTAAATTGTCAGCCAAATTTGGAGGCCAAGCCTAAATGTCTTCTGACAAAGCCCTTACTGAAGGAAAAGCAACCTCAAGCACTCAGTGGATGTCACAATAATACAAACCAATGTACCTCCAACCTTCTTGTCAAGAAAGCTGGGGTGCTCTGAGACCACATTCCCTGCAGCCCCAATGCAGCTGAGACGTTTTCACTCATTTGCCATTAGGGTATTTATTCAGATAAGGTTTTCCTATTAGCAAGTACAAACTTAAAACACTTTTTAAACCTTATATGTAAAATACACAAAAGAAAAGTATATGCTGATTCCTACATTTTTCTTTACTAATCATTTTGCTCTGGTAGCGTAGTGGTTACGAATCGGGCTGCGAACCTTAAGGTCAGCGGTTCAAAACTACCAGCCGCTCCGCGGGAGAAAGATGAGGCTTTCTACTCCCGTAAAGATTTACACCCTTGGAAACCCTGTACAGGGTCGCTATGGGTCGGTCCCGACTCGATGGCACTTAACAACAACAACAATCATTTTGTTTGGCTCTTTTGGATTGGTTGGGTAAGGAAGATCCTTAAGTGTAGAAGACTGATCACTCTAGCTCAAGTTGAAATAAAGATTTATCAGGCAAAAAAATAATAATAATAATAATTTGTCTCCAAGTGGTTGGGGGTGGGGGGTGGGGATGAGGCACAGAATTCCAAAAGCACTATGAGATCACAGAAGACAGGGCCAATCTTTTCCTGAGGGCTCAGAATGCATGAGGAATTCAAGTTAAACAAAGAAAGAACCTTCCTGAACAAAGAAAGAAAGGCTGTCCTGGACAGGAATGCCACCTTCCTTTCTCAGGGTCCTACTTCTAGGTCTCAGAAACTGGACGGGAATGATGGGAAGGTCATGGTGGAAGTCATAGTTTACTCAAGTACTAGTACCCTCCCATCTCTGGCCCTCGGTTTCCTCATTCTTCAAAGGAGAGGGCAGAGGAAACAGACTTGATCCCCTCCCATCCCGATACAGCACTATTCTTCTGTTGGGGCCCCTTACCCATTTCCGCCTACCTCCCACACCAAGCCCAAATTTAGAAACCAACATCACAGATATGAAATCCAATGTGGGGTCCCTGCTTGAGATGATGATTTTTATTCAGTATTCCTTAGGGCCACGGAAAGAGGCCCAGCCGCCACCTATATCTGCTATGACCAGAGGTCTCAGTCTAACCAAAACCTGAGTCCCACAAAACCCAGATAGTGTCAGCAGCCACCCCACCAGGACCAGCCCAGGCCAGCCTGCTCCATCAGGGAGCCCAAAAATCCCCAGCTGTCTCCCTTCCCAGATCCCTCCTTGTCATCCCAAACCTGCCTGTGCCACTGCTAAGGCTTCAAGGCCCTACAAACATTCTTTTAAAATAATAATCATACTTTGTCTTGAAGTAGATTCCAATTGTTTGTGCTACCCTGGGACTCAAGATTCCAAAAAGCCAGAAGAGAGAGCATTTTTGATTCAACCATCCTTACCCTTTAAGCAGATGAGGTAAACTAAGTCCCAATGAGAGACAAACCTTGCCCAATATCATAGCTCAAGTCAGTGATACAGGAAGGACTGGATCTCTGGACCAGGACCAGCCCCTCCCTGCCACTGGCTCTTGCACAAGCCGCCCCCTTAGCATTAAAGCCTTTGGGAAGGGGTGGGGCCAGGATGAAGCAGAAGCATGCCATTCTGCCCACCCTGTCTCCTTCCTCCCCTGACTCAGCTGCTCTAACTTCCCTGGGGCTGCAGGTGTTAATCTGAGGCCCCTTGGGCCCCTGACCTTACCAGGTACTCACGAGAGAAACATGAAGGTCCAGAGCCTCCTCCTCCTGGTGGCCCTCCTAGCTTTGTGGAGCCAGCTGCCTACTGCTTCAGGCCGAAGGAAGGGAGGTGAGTGAGGATAAGGTGGCTGGGATATTCTCTGGGAACCTGGGGAAGCTTCCAGCACTGGGTCAGAAGATGGGAAGAAAAGGAAGTGAGTTGAAAATGAAATCCTATGAACAGACTATGAAGTCATCTCTGGTAACTCTGTTCCAGAGGCCAGTGGTTTCTGTTCTCTGGGGAGAGTAGGGGTCCAGGGGCAGACAGGTAATGCAGTCTGTGTGTGTTTGTGTGCACGTCTGTGGGAATAGGTATGTCTGCTTTCTCTGTGTTCCAGCAGCTTGTGTCTTCATTTGTGTCCATATATCAGGCTGCTCACCTGTGTTGGTATGTGGATGCATCTTTCTGCCACTTCCACAGGGTTTGTCTGTGCCTGCCTATCTTCAAAGAGTGTGTGTGTGTGTGCGCACACGTGCATGCACTTCTCTGTGTCGATGTGTGTCTCTGTGCCTGCTGGTCTGTGCCAATCTTGTCAGCACACGGAGAGTAAGGAATACGTACACACATGTATGTTTAAGCTGTGAGCCTGTCTATCCCTGGGGGCTGTGGGTGCATGCTGTTTTGTGGTTGTATCCATGGAGGCGTGTCTGTCTAGGTCCACAAGGCAGGGTGATGACACTTTCTGTGAGGGTGGGCTTTCTCTGCCCCTCCCCACTCAGTTCAATCTGTGGAAGGCACTGGAGAATTGAGGTAAGGGTGAGAGAAGGATCTGTCTTCCTAGGGCTGGGCTGCTGACAGGTGAGGGAGGCGAAGCTGAAGTGTGACTGCATTCTACCATGCCCTCCTAGTGCTGGGACACAAACAGCCTTGGCTCTGCCTTGGGGAAAGGGAACAGGAATGGGGGCATATCTCCCTCCTCCACAGGGTCCTGCATCCTCCCTTCCCCAGTAGCCAAACTGAAAGAAGCTTCCTCAGAGGCAGGGGAGGGGGATGCTCAGAGAACCCTGGACTGAGGAAGGGAGAGAAGGGTAAACTTCCGGTGCATGCCCAGGGCCAATTGTGATTCTTGCGCCATCAACACTCCTCGCTGCAATGAGGTGATGTTGGGACTATTTTCATCCACATTTAGCAGAAGAAATAAAGGCACAGTGGGCAAACCAATGACTCACCCAAGACCAAAGACTGACTGAGCTGGTATCAAAGGTGGCATCTGAGTGCAGTTCTTTGGAACCGGGATGATTAGCTTCCCCAACTCACTCCTGGAAAATGAATGTCTTGAATAATAACAAGGTGCTCTGGTGGTGCCATGGGTTAAGCATTGGGATGCTAAATGTAAAGTTGCCAACTCAAACTCACCAGCTGCACACTCCGAGGGAGAAAGATGAGACTGTCTGCTCCTGTAAAGACTTGAACGGTCTTGTAAACTCTACAGGGTCATGGAATTGAGTGACTATGAGAACTCCAAAGGCCTGGCACACAGTTAGTGCTGCATAAGTGGACCATTTGCAGGGTACTGGGTAGGCTACCTCAGAACCTCTAAAGTGTGATGTACTATATATCTGTCTGACACTTATATATCTCCAGCAAGTAACCCCATCCTCAGCCTTCCCAGATTCCCCTGCCACGAGGGGCTCTAAGGAAGAAGGCAGCAAGATCAAGATGAGGAAAGTCTCGGCTTGTTGTCTGTGAAAGCATGCTATTAAGTGCTGTCAAGTTGGTTCCGACTCATTGCAATCCAACATAGGGTTTCAGAGGAGTGACTCGTGAGTTTGAACCACTGACCTTCGGTTCAAACGAACTTGCAGTCCTATACTTACGCTACAATGCCACACCAGAAGTCCATAGCTACCTCTTTAGATAAGTCTCCTCCCACAAATGTCTAGATGACATAAAGAAGCTGTGATAGCCCCTGATACTGTTGTTGTTGTTGTTAAGTGTCGTTGAGTCAGTTCCGACCCATAGCGACCCTGTACAGGGTTTCCGAGGGTGTAAATCTTCACGGGAGTAGAAAGCCTCTTCTTTCTCCCGCAGAGTAGCTGGTAGTTTCGAACCGCTGACCCTAAGGTTCACAGCCCGATTCGTAACCGCTACGCTTTGTTGTTGTTGTTAAGTGCCGTCGAGTCGGTTCCGACCCATAGTGACCCTGTACAGGGTTTCCGAGGGTGTAAATCCTTACGGGAGTAAAAAGCCTCATCTTTCTCCCGCAGAGCGACTGGTAGTTTCAAACCGCTGACCTTAAGGTTCACAGCCCGATTCGTAACCACTAAGCTACCAGAGCTCCTTATTGTTGTTTTTGTTGTTAAGTGCCGTCGAGTCAGTTCTGACCCATAGCGACCCTGTACAGGGTTTCCGAGGGTGTAAATCTTTACAGGAGTAGAAAGCGTCATCTTTCTCCCGCGGAGCAGCTGGTAGTTTCGAACCGCTGACCTTAAGGTTCGCAGCCCGATTCGTAACCACTATGCTACCAGATGCTGTTGTTAAGTACCATCAAATTGGTTCCAAATCACAGTGACCTTGTACAGGGTTTCCAAGGAGCAGCTGGTGGGTTCGAACCACTAATCTTGTAGTTACCAGTCTAGTACATCTCCTGCAGTGCCATATATATATTTATATGATATTGGTGAATGTACCTGTATCTGCATAGTTCTGTGTATATGTTTGTGTATTTGTGAATATGTGTATATACATCTCTCTGCTAACACACGTTTTGATACATGACTGAGTATGTCTCAGTGTGTATGAATCTCTATTCATGTGTGTTAAGCCTGTATGCTGCTGTTGTTTGGTACCATCAAGTCCATTTCGATTCACATTGACCCCGTGTGATATAGTAGAATTGCCCCATTGGGTTTTCCTGCTAATCTTTATGGGAGCAGACTGCCATGTCTTTCTCAAGGAGTGCCTGGTGAGTTCCAAGTGCTGACTTTTGTTTGCAACGAAGAACTTAATGATTGTGCCTCTAATGCCTCTAATGTCATATAAGTATGACAGTATATTTTTATATTAGATTATGTGTGTACGTGCCAGTTCATAACTGTACCTGTATTATACATCTATAATAACTGAGGGTCACTAAGAGTCGGAACCAACTCCACAGCACTTAGCCACAATGTTGCTATTTGTTGTTAAATGCCATCGAGTCAATTCCTTAACAATAGCAACGTATAACCAAGGAGCCCTAGTGGTACAATGGGCAGTGTTTCAAACTCACCAGCTGCTCCCTGGAAAATGAGGCAGGTTAGGAGCCTGGAAGCAGAAAGAGTGCCAAGCCCTGGGGCAGGTGTTCAGCTTCCCATTGCACAGACAGAACACTGAGGCTTAGGCTAGTCAAGAGACTTGCCAAAGGACAAGCAAGAAAGAAATTCAAACCAAACCAAACCCATTACCATAGAGTCAATCCTGACTCGTAGAAACCCAAGTAGGGTTTCTCCTCCCTAAAGAGGTATACCTCTTTAGGGAGGAGAAAATCTCTTTCTCCAGAGGAGCAGCTGGTGGAGTTGAACTGCCAACCTTGCAGTCAGCAGTCCAGTGGTGATCCTCCAGTGCCACTAGGGTTCTGTAAGCAAGAGATGGTGGTGGTGGTGGTTATGTGCCGTGGAGTCAGTTCCAACTCACAGCAACCCTGTACAGGGTTTCTGAGGCTGTAAATCTTTCAGGAGCAGAAAGCCTCCTCTTTCTCCCACGGAACAGCTGGTAGTTTTGAACTGCTGACCTTGCGGTTCACAGCCGATTCGTAACCGTAAGCAAGGGTTAAGGGGTGGCAAATTCAGATTTGTGATTCCCCGGTCGGGGCATATGAGGTAATGCTGAGGCGCCTGCAGCTACCAGATGATGGGGTTTTCTTATAGAGAAATCGGGGGGCTGCCCGCCAGACGATGAGCCCTGCCTGCTCTCAGTGCCCGACCAGTGTGTAGATGACAGCCAGTGTCCCTTCCACATGAAGTGCTGCTATCATGCTTGCTTCCGCAAGTGCCTCCCCAGGGTCTCGGGTAAGTGCCCCCCTCCACTGTGCTGACCCCCACGTCCCAGGGCCGGAGGGCACGGGCAGGGCTTGGCTCACCCAGACTCCTGTGTTGCAGTGAAGCAGGGCAGCTGCCCCGAGAATCACCTGCGCTGCTTGAGTGCAATCCAGCACCTGTGCCACAAAGACTCTGACTGCAAGGGCCAAAAGCGCTGCTGCCCTGGGGCCTGCGGCCGGGACTGTCGAGACCCTGCCAGAGGTAAGGAAGTGAACAAACTCAACAGGAAGCCTCCCCAGAAGTTAGGGGAAGGGGGCTGACATGGGACAATTCTGTTAGGATGACAGAGGAGCTGAGGTGTCTTGGTTCACTTCTTGCTGTGTGACCTTCACCACCCCCTAAACTGCTCTGGGGTTTAGTTTGCCATCTGAAGACGGTTATAGAGTCCTGTCTTGATGGGAAATTAAACCTAAACCCAGATGTGTTAACCTCATCCTTCTGTCTTCCTCAGGCTAATTCTGGCCCAGGACCCACAGCTCTCAATCTCACGGTGGTGTTGTCAGGAACAGATGACCGTGGAGTGCCTGGGACCCTGAAGTTTAGCACCATCTCTGTCAGCAGAAGCTGCAACCATCTAATCAAACACTCACCTGATGCCACTTCCCTCACAACTTCCCTGTGTTCCTCCCTCTGAGTGCCAAGGCTCTCCATAGGCTGACCACAAAGGGACTCCTCTCAGTCCACCGCCCGAGCACCCTGGGCTGCTGCCACCAGAGCTTCTGACCCACAGCCACCATTCGTTGGTTCTTTCTCAACTCTCTGACCATGATGTTCTTTCCCACCTTACATGCTTGGCCCCTCTGCCCCTCCCAATTTTCTCCTGGACCTCCAAGGCCCAGTCCAGACAGCCCCCCTTTATGAATCTCTGTCCACTCCTTCAGGCAGCCCAACCCCCTGGGAAGTATGTTCTCTCTGGGATTTTTAGACACCAGTCCACTTACATACCCCCTTTGACAATTTTTGCCAAGCTTACAAAACACCATCAGGATATTTTCTGCTCTACCTATATGATTATACATCTGATGTGTTTCTTTAAATGCACTTACTTTTGTATACAAATCAATTTATTCCAAACAAAAACTTGATATCACTACTATATGTGACACAGTAAAAGCCACTCACCACAAATACAATGAAACTGAAAAAAGAAATGTGTGCAAGTTCCATAAAGCATATCCATTAAATGCCTGATTAAATAAGGTTAATAGATTCTAGCTAGATACTGCTACCCATGAAGGTTATCAATCTGAAGTCTTGCATTCCGTCTCTGTTTCAAGAAATGAACATATATCTTTAGATTGAACGAACAAGAGCAGACAACAACTTGAGATTACCATACATGACAGCAACACCCAGAACTCAATCCTGATATACTATTATTTTTAGTAAAACAAACCTACAAGACTGAAAGTAGGGAACAAGAGATATCAGTTTATAATGAAGTCAACTACAAAGAAACAGAGGGAATAGTGTAAATATAGAACTTCTAAATGGCAAGGAAGTCAAGTAGACTTCAAGACAAAAACAGACTGTTTTAAACGGGGGGGGGGGGGGGGGGGCGATAACAAGTTACAGGGCAACCTTAAAGAAAAATAATACACCTACACATCAAAATTTAAAAAGGAAAAATTGGAAAGATTCAATCAACATTAACACATCTGAAATGAAAAGGAAAAGGAAACCCACAAACAAAATGAACCCAGAACAGAAAATTATGGGGAACAAAGAAAGCAGCACCACACACACACACACACAACACAACACACACAACAAAGTGACAGAAAATGATTCATATCTATAGACAATTACATTGACTGTAAATGGATTAAAGGTACCAGCATGACACACAGAGAACAGAACGGATAAGAAAACAGGATCCTTTGGTATGCTGTCTACAAGAAACACATAAAACAGATGGAGACACCTCTTTTGTTCGTCTTGACAGCCGACATGCCATCCAGACTGTGGAAGACCCGGAAACTTAAGAGGCCATGTGAGCCACTGCCATGACCGTGTTGGCAAGCACCGGAAGCCCCCTGGAGGCCGGGTAATGCTGGCGGCTTGCATCATCATAGGATCAACTTCAACAAACATCATCCAGGTTATTTTGGGAAGTAGATACAAGGCATTATCACTTGAAGAGGAACCAGAGTTTCTGCCCAACTGTCAACCTTGATAAATTGTGGACCTTGGCCAGTGAGCAGACAAGGGTAAACGCTGCCAAAAATAAGACTGGGGCTGCTCCCATCATTGATGTGGTGCGATAGGGTTACTACAAAGTTCTGGGGAAGGGAAAGGGAAGGGAAAGCTCCCAAAACAAATTCTTCAGCAGAAGAGCTGAGAAGATTAAGGATGTTGTGGAAGCCTGTGTCCTGGTGACTTGAAGCAACATGGAAGTTAATTAAATGTTTACTGGTTTTCCCTTATGGTCTGAGTGTAGGTTCTTTGGTGACAACTTTTTGGCTATTAGTGAGCATCACCACCATCAGGACCCCCACCTAACAGGTTCTAGGAGTATTGGGGCTTGTGTTTCCTTACGGTCTCTCCTCAAACTGTATGGTAGGAATACACCAGCACTTTAAAAGACTTGACCCACTGCCTGACGTGACACTTTACAGAGTGGAAGTTATGTCTGCTGATAATATATTCTGGTTAAAACAAAACAAAACAAAAGATGGAGACAGCCTAAATGCCCATCAACAGAAGAATGGTTAAACAGATTTTGGTACATACACACAATGGAATACTATGCAACATTCAAAAATGGTGATGAATCTGGGAAACACTTCACAACATGGATAAACCTGGAGGACCTTATGCTGAATGACATTAGTCAATCACAAAAGGACAAATATTGTATGAGACCAATGTTGTACAAAGTTAAGAAAACGTTTTCTTGATAAAAGAAACAATCTATGATGATTACAAGGGGGAGGAGGAAGGGAAAATTCTTCACATGTTAACATGGGTCACACATGTTAACATGGGTCACAGGGCAGGAAATATATAAGAGGGAGGTTAGAGGAAAGATGAAGGTAGCAGGAGACACAGGGAGGAATGCAGTAGTTAAAGTGAATAGATGTAAATGCTGTGAACGGATGGTATATGGAAGGGATTGCTGTCATTGTAATGTAGCAAAGTAAAGGAGATTTGTTGAATGTAAAACTGATGATCTTCTCTGTAAACCTTCACTCAATTCACAATAAAATAAAAAGTTTTTAAAAAATGAAATGAACATGTAAAAACAAAAGTTGCTGTCAAGTCAATGCCGACTCACGGCAACCTCTGTGTGTCACAAGTAGAACCGTGTTTCATAGGATTTTCAGGTTTTCCACAGATCACCAGGCTTTTCTTCCGAAACACCTCTGGGTAGCCTTTCAGTTAGCAGCCATGCATGGTGGCTGTTTGCACCACCCAGGGACCCACAAAATGAACACTTGCAAAGGTTAAAGTGGAGTGAAAGACCTGGATCTCTAAACTGAACTTTCTCCCTAGTGCAGTAGAGCAGGAGTCATATAAGGCTTGTGAAATCATTTGATCTGGCCCTGCCAAGGCAAGTATATTTCCAGCTATCACATTATAGGTGAATTTATTAAAGGTTTGACTAAATATACCACATTAATTTTTAAATTGATAATTTTATATGGCCCACAAATTATGTTATAAATATCCAAATGGCCCTTGTCAGAAAAAAAGTTCCCCATCACTGCAGCAGAGGGAGAAATTAATTCCTCATCAAGACAATACTCTCTAAGCTTCTTCAATAATTGTCTTCCTCCAAGAGTTAGGACTTTGTGATGTGCTGAGAGATCATTTCAACTGGCCCCACCACACTTGGGGCAATGGTGCTTGAGCAAGTGGGTAGGGCAGGCTGTGTTCTGTGCCCACAGTTGCCTATTCCCTCCCCACCTTCACCATGCTTCCCTGTGAGGAGGGTGTGTACCCTACCCTAGTCACCTGGGGCTTGGCCATAAGACTTGCTCAGCTAATGGAATGTGGGTGGAAGTGACAGTGTGTCAGTTTCAAGGTGAGGTACCAGAGCTCCCACCCTCTACCATGAGAACAGCCTTCCCAGAGAGCCACTGGGTTGTCCCGGGAGAGAGAAGTAAATGTTTGTGGGCAGAAGCTTCTGAGATGTGGAGGTTGTTTGCTACACAGGGTTATCGTAATAAGAGCCTGACTACTCCAGATACTGATTATTAGCCTTTAGTGGGTGCCTGTGCCCTCATTCCATTCAGCTATCCTATCTTCCTGAGAAAGATGGGCATTGCCAGTCCCATTTAGTAATGAAGTCAAGCCTCTGAGATAGTGGCCTACTTGCTCAAGATCCCAGAGCTGAGAAGAGTGTAACCAGGATTCTGTCAGACTGCATTCCTACTCAGTATTGTTGTTGTTAAGTACCATGGAGTTGGTGTCGACCCATAGCAACCCTGCATAGGGTTTCTGAGGAGTGGCTGGTAGGTTTGAACCACAGACCTTGTGGTTAGCAGTCCAGTGCTTCTCCTACAGTGCCACACCAGGACTCCATAATTAATAAATAACAAATCCAGAAGCAGCTAACAATTATAGAGCACTTACTCTGTGTCCTACCACCCACTGGTCAGTGTGTCAGACGGTGGTGACTTGTGTGTTGCCGTGCTACTGGAAGGTATGGCTTTGGTGTTTCAAATACCAGCAGGGTCACCATGGTGGAAGGATTCAGTAGCACTTCCAGGTTGAAAAAGACTAGGAAGAAAGGCCTGGCATTCTACCTCCAAAAGTTAGCCCATGAAAGCCATGTCAATCAAAGGAAAATATTGTGGGACTCCCTGGCTTTGGACACATCATCAGTAAGGTTCAATTGCTGGAGAATACCATGTTTGTAGAATTTGAGGGTGAGCTGGAATGACATATGGCTCCAACAATTAGACATAACACAGAACCAGGTAATATTCTGTTCCATTACTGAACTAGCTAGCTAGCCATTCTGTGCCAAGTGTCTTTTTATTTTTTTAAATTTAAGGTTTTTATCGTGGATTGAGTAAAAATTTACAGGGCACATCATCAGTTTCACATTCAACCATTCATATACCTTGTTTCATTACATTGATTATAATCCCCTCCATATACCATCAGTTAAAAGTA